AGTAGGATATCCTCAGGTGCGGGCCAGCTTTGATCTTTAATCGTTAATTAGGGTCATTAATTAAATAGATAGGGGTGATCTGACCCCTGTCACCTTAAAAGGGTAGGGTAATAAAAATTGATTAGGGTGTGATTGAATGGATTGAGGACACGTGAGAAACGTGTGCGGTGAGCGGTACCGCCCCGAAGACGCACTCGATACGGGAGCGAGGGGGCGAGGGAGCGATAACGCACACGATACGCCTTCGAGTGCGTATGCGAGGGAGCGATATCGTTCGACCCGCGCGCGAGCGGGTGCGTTACCGCCTCGAAGACGCACTCGAAACGGCTTCGAGAGGGAGCGATAACGTTCGATCCGCGCGGGAGCGGGTACGTTACCGCCCCGATGGCGCACTCGAAACGGCTTCGAGAGGGAGCGATAGCGTTCGACCCGCACGCATTCGTTTCCCACAATCAAATCCCACACCAAAAGGGGATGGAGGGTGAAAAGGTCAGTGCGATCCTTAAAGGGATGAAGATGTTAGCAAAAGCCGGTGTACACCTGCGAATGCACAATGCAATTAAGAGGGATGAAAAGGTCACAGTCACCCGAGATCTTTAGGAGTGATAGAGAACTTGTGTGTGCTACCTTTCAACCAAAGGACGGTCACTGAAGAAGCAACCGAAAAAGGGATGGAGGGTGAAAAGGTGATAAACTGCATTCATCCTTTCAATTCCCCCATATCATTCGCAACGTGCTGTGATATGCATGAAGGCTCATGTCTTCATCTTAGAAGAGCCGACTTCTCATAAGGGTGGGGCGGTATGGGAAAAGGTTCAGTCTCATACCCATTTCACTGATAAAAAGTCTGAACATCGAAAAAGGAAAGTAACTCCTCCATTCATTCTAACTCGCAATGGTATGAGGCGCCACACAAGAAAAAGGATCTTTTTTCCAGTCAATCGTGACGAATGCAAAACTGGATCAATATGTTGGAAACTCAGGTGAATGAGACCATAGAGCATTAATGCAGAGTTCTAGACTTTCACTTTTAGTTTGTGTTCCAAGCGACTTCATCACGCCGGTCTTCCCTTCAACTTGAAGAAAATCAAAAGTGCTAGTGAAAATTGAACAAAAATCAATTTTAAACATTTTAAACAAAACAAAAAATATAAACATTGAAAATCAAAAACAAAAACTTTTTTGTTATAATTCCAAGTGATTTCAACACGCCGGTCTTCCCTTTGTCTTAAAGAAAAGACAAAAGTGCAAAAAACAAATAAACAAAACAAAATAAAAAACATAAAAAAAAAAAAAAAATAATAATAATAGGTAGGTAGGTAGGTAAAGTGGTGAGGCAGCCCTGGCCGCCTCCAATTGGAGCAGAGCTCCGTTTTGATCCACACCCTCAATTTCCTGTTGTCTGCGCCCTTCTTAGTACCAACCCGTGTCATTCAGGTAAGCTAGGATGGCCGCTACTGGCTGCCTCCCAACTTCTCCTAGTGACTCGAGTTGGTGTGCTCCGAAGTGTCGGGCTCTTTGTCTGTTGAGTGCCGGGCAGTGGCACAACAGGTGCTCTGGTGTCTCCTGCTCGCTTGGTTCCTTGCAGCTTCTGCATTGTGGGTTGTAGGGTAGACCCATCTTGCAGGCTTGCGTGCCTATTGGCCAGTGGCCGGTGATGGTTGCCGCTATCCTCCTGATGTCCTTTTTGCTCTTGGAGATCAGTTCTGCGGTTCTCTTCCTATTGAATTCTGGCCAGCATAGTTTCGATCTTCTGTGCTCTGCCTTCGTCGACCATCCCTTGCTGGCTAGTTTTTTGAAATAGTAATGAATTTCCGTCTGGACTGAGTTCAGGGAGATCTGTATGTCTGTTGTTGATGAGTGTTCTTCTGACCCTTTTCTGGCCAGCTCGTCTGCTTTCTCGTTTCCGTCTATGTCATTGTGTCCGGGTACCCAGGCTATTTGTACCCTGTTGTCTTCTGCTAGTCTGTTTAGTGCCCCTTTACATTTGGCCACTAGTTTTGAATTCGTCCGTGCTTGTGCGAGGGATTTGATCGCCGCCTGGCTGTCTGAGTATATCCTCACCTTGGTATTCCGGAGGCCTCGGTCTAGCGAAAGTTCGGCAGCTTTCAGTATCGCGAGAACCTCCGCCTGGAAAACCGTCGTTGACTCTGGGAGGTGGAAGTAATCCTCCACCTTCCAGCTCTCGGCGTAGATTCCGGCCCCTACTCCGTCGCTCATCTTTGAGCCGTCGGTGTAGAGTGATACTTCGTCCGGTTCGGTTACTCTCCCTCTCCTCCAGTCTTCCCTTGTAGGGTATATAGTGGTGTATGTGTTACCGAATCGCAGTTCGGTTGTCATGTAGTCTGTGTCTACTGTCGTCCGATAGTTTATCTCGTTCAGAATCCTGCAGTGCCCGGTGTGGTAGTCTTTCCAGCTTTGGCTAGCCTTAAGTCGTACCGCACCTTGTGCTGCAGTGTTCCTGATGAAATGCTCTATCGGTATCATGTTCAGGATGGCGTTCAGCGCCGCCGCGGGGCATGATCTCAGTGCTCCTGTGGCTCCTGCGCATGCCGATCTCTGTATCCTTGTTAGTTTCTGTACGTTGTATGCCCTAGTTAATGCTGGCCACCATACTAGTGCTCCGTATGTGAGTATGGGTCTTACCACCGCTGTGTAAAGCCATATTATTATCCTGGGGTGGATGCCCCAGTTCTTTCCGAACATCTTCCTGCAGGAATAGAATGCTATGCTTGCGTTCTTGACTCTCTCGTTGATGTTTTGTTTCCATGACAGTTTCGCATCCAGTATCACTCCCAGATACTTTGCCTGCTGTGATATCTCTAGTTCTATGCCATCTATCTTTCGCTTTGTGAAGCTAGGGATCTTAGTTCTTCTAGTGAAGGGCATTAGTTCCGTTTTACTTGGATTTATGCCCAATCCGCAGGCTTTTGCCCATGTATTGAGTTTAGTAAGTGCCCTTGTCATTAGTTCGCTGATGACGTCGGGGAATGGTCCTGAAGTGAGTAGAACTAAGTCGTCTGCGTATGCTACTACTTTTACTCCTTCGCTATTTAGTGTTCTTAGTATGTCGTCCATGTTTATCAGCCAGAGCAGTGGGGACAGGACTCCCCCCTGAGGTGTGCCCCTCTTCACAAATCTTGTGTGATGAGTGCCACTCAGTTCGGCTGTTATCCTCCTGCTCGTCAGCATTGCGCCATTCCATGCCCTGATGCCTCCCTCTACTCCTATACCGTTGAGGGAACTCAGGATGGAATCCGCATTGACGTTATTAAAGGCTCCTTCTATGTCCAGAAAGGTGGCCATGGCGTAGTTTTTGAAAAATAGAGCCTTTTCTATGTATCGCACTACCTCGTGTAATGCTGTTTCCGTGGATCTGCCTTTCCTGTACGCATGTTGCGCATTGGAAAGGTTTTTCTCCGTTCTTTCTCTGATGTGGATATCAATGATCCGTTCCAGTGTTTTCATCAGAAATGAGTTAAGGCTTATCGGCCTATAATCCTTGGCTTGGATGTGTCCCCTTCTTCCTGGTTTTGGTATGAAGACTACCCTCGCTTCCTTCCATGGAAGTGGTATGTGTGCTGTTTTAATGCATGCCTGGAAGATTGCTTGTAGCCATTTTCCCGTGCTTGCTTTCGTTGTTTGTAGCATTGCCGGTATTACTCCGTCTGGACCCGGGCTTTTGTATTTGTCGAAGGAATCTATCGCCCAATGGATTCTTTCCATGGTGATGATCTCTTCTACTTGTAGCTGCTGGTCTGCCCCCTGGCTTTCCAGTATTCTAGGTTCTTCTTTTTGGTTTCCTGGGAAATGCGTATTCAGCAGTATTTCCAGTGACTCTTCAGCCGACGTACTTCCTGTCCCGTCGGGTTTATTTATGAGCGTGGGGCCTGTGTGTCCTCTCGATAGGATTTTACTTAGCCTCGCCGTATCTTTGACTCCTTCAAGCGATTCGCAGTAGCTGCTCCAAGATTCCTTCTTGGCTACGTAGATTGCCTTTTTGTATTCTTTGTGTATTGCTTTGTACGGCTGCCAGTCTTTGGTTCCGTAACTTGTGTTGAAGGCTTTTCGAACTTTCTTTCTGAGCTCGCTTAGCTCTTTGTTCCACCATGGTGGGTATGTCTTCTTTGAGTATGTTAGTCTGCATGACTCTTTGTAGGCTTTGTTCAGGATATTTGTGAAGTCCTCTACTTCCTTGTCTATTCTCTCTGGGGTGGATCGAGTCTTGATCCTTCTGTCTTTGACCTTTGACTGTACAATCTTTCCGTATTTGTCCCAGTCAGTGTTACGAGGGTTTCGCTTCGGCGCCGTTTCGCATATCGGCATCACGAGTTCGAAGAATATGTATCTGTGGTCTGAAAACGAGTCTTGTGTAGAGACTCTCCAGTTTCTTACCTTATAATCGCTATGCTCCATTTGGAGGGTTATGTCTAGGACTTCTTCCCAGCCTTGAAATCCTTCCGTACTTGGAAAGATGAAGGTGGGCGTGTTTCCCTTGTTACAAATAGTGACGTCACGACATATAATACTATCGAAGAGAGACTCACCCCTTTCGTTTGTCTCCTTACTTCCCCACAGTGTGTGCCTTGCGTTGGCATCGCACCCGAGGATGAGCGTCGTCTTAGTCTCCTCGGCCCACTGCATCACCCTATTGAACGCTTCAGGTGGTGCAGGTTCGTCGTGGGCCATGTATCCGGAGGCTATTAGTATGGCTGTCCCATCCGCCGCCTTGAATCTTGCCACTGCTATATCTAAGTTGCTGAGGTTGGGGTAAAGAAGAGCATTAAGATTGTTTTTAACGATTATACCCGCCCTCGGCCTACCTGTCGAGTTTGTGTATAGTGTTGTGTATCCCTTTATGGCCATGCCAGAGATTCGTCCGTCTCTAGTCCATGGCTCTTGTATAAGGCCGATGTCGATGTCCTTCTCCCGGAGAAGGACCCCCAGATTAGCTGAAGCGTGGGAGCTGCGCTTCAGGTTTATCTGAACGACCGTCGGCATTAGATTGGGGTGGTGTTGGGGGAGCTGTCGTCGATCGCCAAGTCGTCCAGCAGCTTGTTGGCGTCCTCGACTTCGTCTTCTAGTATATCGTCCGGTTCGTCCAGGAAGACCTTCACCTTGGCTTTCCTGATGCCGTACCGGACCTTGTTGTCAGCTGCCTTCAGCTGTTCTAGGCAGCGCTGATTGATGAGGAACAGATATGGCTGGCTGGTCTTCATCTCTCGTTCGGCTTTGAGAATGGCCCAGTCCTCCATGTCGACTCCCTTGTTCATTGCTCGCAGAGTCTTGATCACCCTTTCACCCTCGCTGAATTTCTTCGCCGTCTTGACAAAAGTTGTCGGTCTTGGGGCGCCCTTCGCGTCTTTGGCTCTCTTTGGAGCGCTCTCACTCACTTCTTGTGAGCGGTTGCGCTTCGTTTGGGGAGGCAAAAGCGTTTCTGGGTGCTTCTTTTCGAATCGCTCATATTCCTCGATCACTGCGAGGTACCTGGCTTTGTCTGCCAGGTCGCGCGGATCGGCTTTGCCCTCCTTTTCGTTCCTTGCTATTTTAGCGAGGATGAAATGGGCCTTGCTAGCTTGCGCCTTTCTTTGTTGGTGGGTCCACGGTTTTGACTTCCCGTGTTCGCCTGTCGCTTTGGCTTGGCTTGCCGCTGCTTTGCTTGTTGTTGGTTGTGCCGCTTGAGGTGTGCTTGTCTTAGCACTTCCCTCTGAAATGGACGGAGCCAGAGTCTCGTCATCAGAGCGCAGTAGCTCCTCCTCGTCCAATTCACTATCTGTTGCTGGTTTTTGGGGTTTTACCTCTCCCACGAGGTCCGAAGCGGATTTTTTTGTTGTGTCCATGTTCATAAACGCCCGCGTTGCTCGACAGGGCGAGCGCGGCGGGCCCGAGGGGTTTGGGGCATTGAAGTTAGGTCGACCGTGGCTTCGCCCCTAAGCCACGACAAGGCTCGTTCCGACCTAGGGTTGCCCGGCCCTAGGAAGGCTCCGTTCTAACACAGCTGGTTTACCCCTCAGCTGCGAACCTTATAGTCAGTGGGCACGGGTCGCTTTACACGCCTGACTTGAGGGGAGGCAGTTTCAAGACTTGCCCATGTCTTGGTAGGGATTGGGAGTCAGAGGATTATTGGGTGCGGGATTCACAGGAGGTGCCGCTCGCATTGGCCGTACCGTAGTACGTTTCCAGGAGGTACCACGCGGAGGATCTTCTCCGAAGAGAAGGTGGTGTCTATCAGACTGATATTCACCTGCGAGTCGACTTTGTGTTACATTTGAGCCAAGGAATATTCATCAACAGTTGCCCTGTTGACTTTGCCTTGGATTGTCGCACACTTACCACCCAAAAAAAAAAAAAATAATAATAATAATAAATAAATAAATTTATTTTATTTCAACAAACAAAATCATAATAACAGCAAGCTGAATTCGACAAACAACAACAACAGCAACATCATCAGCACCAGCTCCACCTCCACTAGTAATGCTGGTTCCATTCCCCCTCTTGCGGCAACCAGTGGAATTTACTGCAAATATTGCAAAATATATTTGCCGATGGGAGTGCAATGGAAAAATCATATCCGCACTGAAGCCCATAAAGTCTTCACCACACAACATATAACTGGAAGTGTGAAGCAGATTCTGGATGGATTCAAGGGACGAATTCTGCAATACATGTTTGTCAATGAGGGGCCTGCAATCAGGAATCCCATTGAATTCTTCGATGAAGCGGGTGTAGCATTTCTCCCCCATTTAAAAAAAGCGCTGACCACCCTTTGCTCCAAAATTAATTTTGAGTTCTTTGGAGAGTATATGTTAGTAAAGGAGCATGATACTCGTGTTGAGATAAAGTCATTCCAAACAAAAATGACATTTATTACTTCAGCATCAAATTTACCAGCCTACATGAATTTTCATAAAGAGGAACTGGAAATAAAAATGGGAGAATTCCAAGAAAGGGACAGTGGTTGGACCCTAATTCGAATCATCAGAATGGAAATGAATATGATGAAATGTGATCCAATGAAAGGATCAGCTCATTTCAAGCTCCCTGAAATACTGCAACGCAAAAACGCTGTAATAAATGTAAATAACAATGATGAATATTGTTTTAAGTGGGCGATTCTTTCGAGCTTTTCAACAAATGATAAGCCACAGCGATGCTCAACATATAGAGTGAACATATTATCAGATATAATATACGGTGAAGGAGGTGTAAAACTAGATTTTACTGGATTAAATTTCCCAGTGGTGGTGGATGATGTGAAAAAGTTCACTGCACAAAATCCACACATAAGCATAAATGTGCTTGGATGGGATACGGATATAAATAAAGTTATTGGACCACTTTATTCAGATGGAGTGGAAAAAAATAAATACATAAATTTGATGTTGGTCAAAGGACCAACGGCCAACGTTCCCGGACATTTCGTCTACATAAAAAATATGTCACGGTAAGTAACAATAAAGTTAAAAAATAAATAAATAAATAATAAAAAAAAAAAAAAATAAATAAATAAAATTATAAATAATGTAATATAATTAAAATACTAATTAAACTCAAAAATTACTTTTGCAGACTACTCTCAGCCCAAATGGGTAAGCAACAGAAGGCGCGACTTTTCTGCAACAAATGTTTGTCTTATTCAACGAATGACGCAAGAGCTGCAAAACATGCGGAAATATGCAGCAATGTCGTCACTGAAGTACCACATCCCAATAAATCAGAGCTGAAATATTCGAATTATCATCGACAACTGGAGGTGCCTTTTGTGGTTTATGCGGAACCGATGTCAGTAGCAGTAAGTGAGAAAACAAAGTTAATTAATAAGCATGTTCCAATATCATTTGCATACTACATAAAGTGTGTATATAATTCTAATTTAGATAAGGTAGTTTTAAAAACAGGTGGAAATGTTAGTCGCACTTTCATTGAAAATTTAACGTCCGATTTGTCCGAGATATATCAAAATCATATGTCAAAAATAATCCCACTTCAAATGTCTCAACAGGACAATCTAAATTTTAATGCAGCTCTTAATTGTCATATTTGTAAGGCAAAATTAGGGAATGACAGAGTGAGAGATCACTGTCATTTTACAGGCAGATTTCGAGGTGCAGCGCATAATGATTGCAATCTCAAATTTAAAACAGGTAATTTTATTCCCGTTTTCTTCCACAACTTTTCCAAATATGACGCCCATTTATTTGTGAAAGATCTCGGTGAAACAGAAGGAGAAATTCGTGTAATTCCTACGAACAAGGAATTATATATACCCATTTCAAAATATGTCCCAGTAGGAAAAAATACATTGGAAATTAGATTCTTAGACTCATTCAGATTCATGTCCTCTAGTCTAGGAACTCTTGCGAATAATTTAAATGATGAAGATTTAAATGTTTTAAGCCAACAATATCCAAATAGAGAAGATTTTACCCTTCTTCGTAGGAAAGGTGTTTTCCCATACGAATATTTAGATTCGTCTCAAAAACTTGAAGATATTTCTCTTCCGCCAAGGGAAAAGTTTTATAGCAATTTGACAGAGACAGAATGTTCTGGGGATGATTACGCACACGCATGTAAAGTATGGAGTCATTGCAAGTGTCAATCACTTAAAGACTACTTAGAATTATATTTAAAAACTGATGTTTTGTTGTTGACCGACATTTTTCAAAATTTTAGAGGAATTTGTTTACAAGTTCATGAGCTTGATCCTGCTCATTATTTTACAATCCCGAGTTTGTCTTGGGATGCTATGCTGAAAACTACACAAATTACCCTCGAATTACTCACGGATATCGACATGATTCGATTTATACAGTGTGGGATTCGAGGGGGCTTAGTACAATGTAGTCATAGGTATACCAAGGCAAACCATAAATACCTTAAAGATTTTGATTCTATTAAGGAGTCAGAATACTTAATGTATGTGGATGCGAATAATTTGTATGGTTGGGCCATGTCTGAGCCCCTACCTTATGGAAAGTTTAAGTGGTTAGAAGTAGAAGAAGTAGAAAAATTTAATGTAGAAAATATTAGTGATGACGGCGAGTATGGATATATATTAGAGGTTGACTTAGAATATCCATACTCGCTTCACGATTTACATAATGATCTCCCTTTCTGTCCAGCCAACAAGCTCCCCACAGTAAATTCAAAAGCAAAAAAGTTAATAGCAGATCTCCATGACAAGGAGAGTTATATTATTCATATCAAAACCCTAAAGCAGTGTATGAAGAATGGATTGAAGCTTAAAAAATTCACTCTATCCTTGAATTTAAACAGAAGCCCTGGTTAAAAATTTATATTGATATAAATACTGAGCATAGAACCAGGGCAGACACTACCTTTAAAAAAGACTTTTACAAGCTCCTAAATAATTCAATTTATGGAAAATGTCTTGAGTCAAGTGAAAAGCATGTAGATGTCCGTCTAGTCACTGAATGGGAAGCTCCACCCAGTGGTCCACAAGGAGGACGTCCACGACTATGCGCCAGGGAGTTAATAAGTCGACCCAATTTCCATAGCGCAACAAGGTTTACAGACAAACTGTATGCGATTCAGTTAAAGAAATTACGAAACGTTTGTGATAAACCACTTTATTTAGGTTTCGTAATTTTAGAATTATCAAAATGGAAAATGTATGATTTTCATTATTCGTATATGAAACCAAAATTTGAAAATAAATTAAAACTTAATTATATGGATACCGATTCATTCGTTTACTCAATAAAAACTGATGATTTATATGCTGACATCAGAAATGATATCGAGTATAAATTTGATACATCCGAGTATTCAGATGAAGTGGCTAGGCAATATAATTTTAAACAATGTAATAAAAAGCGCTTAGGTTTCTTTAAGGATGAATTGAATGGTAGGTCAATGACAGAGTTTGTAGGCTTGAGGTCAAAGATGTATGCCTATAAATCAGAAAGTGTCGGTAATCAGCCTGAAAAGTGTGTGAAAAAGAACAAGGGTATAAAATATAGCAGCTTAAGAAAAATAACATTTGATGGATATAAAACATGTTTATTTACTGGTCAGCAAGAATATGATTCTATGTGTATGTTTAGATCTAGAGGACATGAAATAAGCACGATAAAAATAACGAAAATAACATTAGACAATAAAGATGACAAGCGAGTTATTTGTGATGATAGAGTTTCAACTTTAGCAATAGGACACTATTCAACAGTGGAAAATAGAATTAGGGGTGAAATGACGATTTTAGAAGCTCAGTCACAGGATTTGGAGTCTCAAATTCAGAGACAAACTGATAGCTCTCAAAGTCTTATTCGTACAGAAAGACTAAAAAGGAAGTTGAAGGAAAATGAAAGTGCGACTATCAAACAAATGACACATTTAATAAAGCATTTCGCTTCCGATTATTATGCTAAGAAATTAAAAGAATGTTAGGAAACACAAAAAAAAAAAAAAAAATAAATAAATAAAAAAAAATTGAAAAATATATTAATAAATAAATACAACTATTAATTTAAGTTTGAAATAATATACTTTATTTAAAAATGTTTAAATATAAGATATTAAAATAAATCTAATGTATATAATACTACGCACATAATTATAAACAATACAAAACAAAAAACAATTATAATAAAAATACAAAAAAAAAAAATATATTTCTCCATGTGTTTTATTATAATATTTCAGATTTTTCAATCCAACTATCAGCACTTTTTGGAAAATTGAGCCAGCGGACAAGAGCTCTGTTACCCTTTCTTTTCAAGACTTTTTCAACTAGGTATTCATCTGGGAAACTAGTTTTTTTCAGTTCTTCTTTATAAAAACCGCCCTTAATTGGATTAGAATTTAAATCCTCCAG